CACTTTATGCCAGTAATTAGAGGCTGGGGGAGTCTGGAGCAGGAACAACAGTTTCAACTAAATCCTGACAAGGCTGAGTGAGTGGATTGGGGTTATGGGGCCTGCTGGTTCTAGGCTTATGACATCTTTGGTGCTGGATGTGATTGAACTAGGGATCCACAATTCCTTTCCCGAGAGCAAGTGGGAGTCCTGGCGCTTTGCATATTTATTTATTTATTTATTGAATTTATATTGCCGCCTATTCACCCACGGCAACTTCAAAGCGGCTTACAGAATATAAAACCACATTTAAAACAATAAAACTAACAAAAAGAATCAAGCAAATTGATATAGTACAATATAACAAAATCACCCCCGTCCCGGCGACAGCAAATCACACGAGCCATTTAATGGGCTCCATCCTGCTCTGGGTTCCCCAGGCGCACTGGCAGAACCAGGTTTTCAGCGCCTTCCAGAAGAATATTAGTGAGGGGGCCATTCTAATCTCTGGGGAATGATATTCCAGAGAGAGGGAGCCACCATGGAGAAGGCCCTTCTTCTGGGTACCACCAGGTGTCCTCAGGGATGGGACCCGCAACATTTTTTGCCTCCCCGCTCTAAGCTGGACTGCACTGTGCATCGATCAAAATAACCTGTTCTTCAATCAAAAGGCTCGACTCTTGGTCAGTCACCTCCCAGTTGGACTGCTGCAATGCGCTCCATGTGGGGCTGCCTTTGAAGAGTATCTGGAAATTCCAGATGAATGCCGTGGCGCGAACAGTTATATGTATTTCTAGAACGGAGGTCTCCAAACTTGGCAACTTTAAGACTTGTGGACTTCAACTCCCAGAATTCTCCAGCCAGCAGAGCAGAATGCCTTTTCTGCCACGGCACTCACTTTAGGGAATATCCTCCTCTGCCTCCTTCCCCAAGCAAGGCTGGCCTCATCCCTGTTGATTTTCTGGAAGCGTCTCAAAACCTGTTTACTTTACTTGATTGTGATTGCATCTTGTACAATGAAATTAAATGCCATCTTCAGTGTACATTATGTTATGCCATCAGGCCAGCCCACAGAACACAGTGGAGCCCATTGTTACTAGCATCTGCTCTCACCCTAATGTGTGTTCTCTCACAGCCTTCGGTTTTCTAAAAGTTCTTAATAACAATCATTGTTTTTTTTAATATATTAATCATTTTTATCCTTATTGTACATCACCCAGAGTCACTTGTTTGTGAGATGGGTGGTTATATAAATTTGACAAATAGTTTGGGGAAACGAAGCTCATAGTACAGCACATATTGTTAATGCAGGCAATCCTTGACTTACAACAGTTCGCTTAGTGACTGTCCAACGATACAACAGCCCTGAGAAAAGTAACTTACGACCATTTTTCACCTGATGGTTGCAGCATCCTCGTGGTCATGTGATTTACCTTCGGATGCTTGGAGCTGACTCATATTTTGATGACTGCAGTGTCCTGGAGTCGTGTGATGCCCTTTTGCGACCTTGTGACAATCATAGTCAAAGGGGAAATCCAGATTTACTTAACAATTGTGTTACTAATTTAACAACCGCAACGGCTCACTTAAATGGGTCAAGGAAAGGGGGAAAACTTGCTTAACAAACAATTGACTCGCTTTACAACAATTGTGGTCATAAGTTGAGGACTTATCTGTAATAGTTTTTTTATATATATATTAATAGTTTTTATCCTTGTGGTACATGACCCTGAGTCACTTGTTTGTGAGTTGGGTGGTTATATAAATTTGACGAATAATTTGGTGAAACTAAGCTCATAGTATAGCACATACTCTTAATATGTTTAGGCTCAGGAGGTTATGTATGTACCCACACTTGGTAGATGTAGAGAGAGACGGAGCGCTAAGTACAAATGCAAACCATAGGAATTACTCTGAGCTGATTTAGTACTTCCTCCTGTCCAAGGACTTACTGTATTTACCATATTATCCATGAAACATTCGGAAGCACTACACATACAGTGAACTATAAACTAGCCAGTCCTATCACAGTTCGGCGGTTTATGACTTCATTTGCTGTGCAAATGTAGGAAAGGGATTTAACTCTGTCAACTGAGGACAAGTATCTCGCATATGGGTGGTCCTTGACAGTGGTGGGATTTGGTTGGGAACTTCTAAGACTTGTGGACTTCAACTCCCAGAATTCTCCAATCAACTATGCTGAGTTTGCATTGGGATGTTAGGTTACAAGGCAGACTCTCAGGTCTTAGTCTAAATCACACACACACACACACACACACACCCAAACTTGGCAACTTTAAGACTTGTGGACTTCAAGTCCCAGAATTCTCCAGCCAGCTAGGAGTTAAAGTCCACAGGTCTTAAAGTTGCCAAGTTGTCATGCCCCTGCTGGAGTCTGATTCTGAGGGGGTGGTTGAATAACTGACAGGGAGTGGGAGTGTGGCTCCGGTGGCTGTGGAGGAAACTAGGGAAGGGCACAGTCTGGCTGGGCATTCAGAGAAAGACCCAGGCCCACCCCCTCTGCATCCTAGGGCATGCAGGGAGGAACAGATAAGGGAGCAACGTGGGTTACAGGGGAGAAAAAGGCCCTGATTCCCTTCATTAGCTGCAAGTCTTAAAGTTGCCAAGTTTGGAGACCTCTGGCCATGTAGGATAATGTAGGATAATATCTCCCTCCCTCCCTCCCTCCCTCTCTCTCTCTCTCTCTCTCTCTCTCTCTCTCTCTCTCTCTCTCCATCTGTCTGTCTCTGTGTGTGTGTGAGAGAGAGAGAGACATCAAAGATTCCAAGCAAAAATAATTGCTTAAATTTCCTTTCGGGTAAGGTAGCCTATTGGACCATGCTTGTGGGTGATGGTATGCAGGAATGAGCTTGGGAGATGGAGGAAGTGGTGCTGTCTAGGGCAGTGGCCCCCAACCTTTTGGGCACCGTGGATGGTTCCATGGAGAGAGGTTTTTCCATGGCCCAGAGAGGGTCGAGGTTTCGTGGCCTGCCTGCATCCCACGGATGGGACTTTGCTTGTTATGCAGCCTGGTTTCTGGCATGCTGTGGCCTGGGGTTGGTCCACAGCTGGGGGATTGGGGACCCCTGTCCTAGATAACACTACCAGAGCTTGAAGAATAACAGTGAAAACCTGATCGTGCCTGTGAGAAAAGATGTACAGTTGGTCCTTGATTTTACAACCAGAATTGGGATTGAACTTCTGTTGCTAAGTGAGGTGGCTGTTATGTAAGTTCCGCCCAATTTTGTGACCTTTTTCACTGCAATTGTTCAGCAAATCACCATGGTCATTAAGTGAATCACACCGTTGATAAGTGAGTCTGGCTTCCCCCATTAAGCGTGCTTGTTGGAAGCTAGTTTGGAAAGTTGGGTTGACAAACAGTGACCCCACAATGCTACAACTGTCAACTAAATAGATGAGGATTGCCAAGTACACAAATTTTGATCAAGTGATCCTGGGGATGCTGTGATGGTCGTAAGGGTGAAGGCAGGTTGCAAGTCCCTTTTTTCAGCACCGTTGTAACTCTGAATAATCAGTAAATGAATGGCTATAAGGCGAGGGATCCCTTTAGTGTATCTTTAAAATGCCATAAAATCTAACTTGGATTCAGCTTGGTTTAAAAATGCATCTGCATTTGCCTCCTAGGGCAGCTGTGGGGACTGCACAGTCATAATAAAGGAAAACATCTCTTTATGTGTAAAATGTTTTTTTCTTTTTCCTGTTTCGAATTATTTGTTATCCAGTCACTGTAATAAAACTGGAGCCAGAGTACATTTCCAGCATATTGAATTCCCCTGATGCTTGCAATCGCAGTTAGACTTATATACCACTTTATACCACTTTATAGTGCTTTACAGCCCTCTCTGTAAACCTCTGTTTACAGTGTCACCTTGTTGCCCCCCCAAACAATCTGAGTCCTCATTTTATTGACTTCGGAAAGATGGAAGGCTGAGCTGGTGAGAATCAAACTCTTGGAGTGAGCAGTGCACGCAGAACTCCATTCTAAGAAGCACCCACTCTCAGCAAGGAGGCAGGTTTTGGGTTTGTGTTTTAACCAAAGTTGGAAAAAAAATGTTTGGCAATGTTTGGAATGTCTCCATATCTGCAAAAACTACTTCTGTTGGTATCTGATCCACAAGACGGCAGAACCATCCCAGCTGCTTTTGAACTACAATTGCATCTGCTCCCCCCCCCCCCCCAGCCATTCTGCCTGGGACTGCTGGAAATAGTAGCTCAAGCTACAGCAGGGATCATCTCAGATACCCAGATGATCATATTTTGTACCCTTTAAGGAAAAGGCTGGAATTTGGGACATCCGTTCTCCAAACGTTCTCATGCAGCCTCTCCTGGATGATGCAGTTAAGTCTTTTTCAACTTTTCCAATCGAATTCTTCCAACCCAACCTGATGCTGGGGAATTCTGGGAGTTGAAGTCCATACATCAAGTTGCCAAGGTTGAGAAGCAGTGATGGATTTTGTCCAGCCAGGTGTAGTAGCAATAGCAATAGCACTTAGACATGTATACCCCTTCACAGGGCTTTTACAGCCCTCGCTAAGCGGTTTACAGAGTCACCCTATTGCTCCCAACAGTCTGGGTCCTCATTTTACCAACCTTGGAAGGATGGGAGGCTGAGTCAACCTTGAGACTCGGTGAGAATCGAACTCGTGGAGTGAGTAGTGTATGCAGAACTGCATTCTAAGAGGCACCCACTTTCAGCATGGGGGCAGGTTTTGGGTTTGTTTTTTTAAACCAGAAGTTGGAAAAAATGTTTGGCAGCTACCTTTGACCCCACATCTGGAGTATCTCACATTCTTCTACAGTGATCAGAAGTATACTGCACTGAAACATGGAGGGTCTATTTTAGCCAGCAATCGGGGGGGAGGGGGAATAGCTACTAATTATATTCCCTTCCCCTATTTACACATAATTCTTTGAGAGACCGGCTTATAATAAAGCCATCACCATTTTTTGTGGCAACAAGTTTTACAGATTGTTTGCCTACTGTTACAAAACATTTGGCCTCCAGATAAAATGGGAATTTATTTTATTATGTAACTATGTACAACAAAGAAGAAAAATCAACAAACGTCATTTACATTTGCTTCTAGGGGCAGACAGTATTTTTCATAGATTAAAAAGCAGAGCAAAATTGATTTTTGCTTGATCAACTCCTGTCTGCTCATGGAAACATTTTAACTTAATTCTCAAGAATCCACTGCCTTCAGTTGGTGGAAGGATGTGCTCTGATGTGGAGCTAACAACACAATCTTATATTTTCCTTATCTCCCCCCCACCTCAAAAAATCAAGTGTCCTGAACAATTATGTACAAAAAAAAAAATCTCATGTATGAAAAGTTCCATGTTGCACCCATGTATAAAGTGTCTCTGTGCCTTTTTTTGCCTTCCTGCATTGCCACGAATTCTACATCCCAAACGATCCTTCATCAGCTTTTTGCCCTGTTAACTTGGTGGGCATCCAGTTTGCGTTCCCTCCCACCCATCCCTCCTCTTCCTTCTCCCTGTCCAAATCCTATGGAGCCAGTTATTCTGCTTGCTTTCTCCTTGGAATTTCATGGGGTTTTTTCCTGGTTACTGTGCACCTGCAAGAAAACAGGAGGGAAATGCATGCATGAAAGCGTTTGAAGACAAAAGCATTACAGATTTCGGCTGTGGCCAAACTTTCTCAAGGTTAGGAAGAAGCAGGCAAGAGCCAAAACCACCTCCTTGATCAGTTTCCATCCATTATTCCTTATCTGGCCCACAGGTGCCTTGGAAAATCGTTTGACCCCTTCCTCTCTGTGGCAGCCCCTCAAATATTGGAAGGCTGCTACCATGTTGATAAGATCACTGTTAAGTTAGGCCCAATTTTATTACTTTTCTTGCTACGGTTGTTAAGCAAATCACTGCAGTTGTTAAGTGAATCAGACTGGCGTTAAGCAAATGCCGCTTCCCCCATTGATTTTGCCCGTCAGAAGCTGGCTAGGAAAGTTGCAAATGCGTGAACCACACCCCCCACCAAGGATGCTGTAAATGCAACCTGTTGTAAATACATGATTCAAGTTTGAACGGTTGTAACTTGAGGACTATGTGCAATGGTGCATTTGGTGCTCATCTCAAAAAAAAAAAAAAGAATTTATCTTTCTGGAAGATCTATTTCCCATTTGTTTCTTACCATCTATTTGCCCAACTGGCTGTTCCTCTTCTGTTTCATCTTCCTCATTCAGTTCTTCATCATCTTCGTCTTTGGAAAAAAAGAAGGGAGGGAAGGAAATAATTTAGATCCACTTTCCAGAACACCTCATGTTACAGAGCTGTCTCTGAAGTATCTCAGATGCTTATGCAGTCCTTGGGAATCTTTCCTTTTAACTCAGCTGGTGTCTATTAACTTTGTACCTCTTGCCACACAAAAGGTGTGTAAAGTTTGCTTGTGCATTAGAATATTAGAAAGTGCCACTTTCATCATGGGAATCAGCAGACATCAGCCCTAAGGCAAGTGCAGAAGGAAGCTAAACTGGGGACCAGCAACGAATCTGCTCTCCAAAATCCCCCACTATGAAACAGCGATGAATATTCTCATAATATTTACTATTTGCTGAACATTTATCTGGATTTGGCACTCTTCCCTCATAATAATCTAATGTCAGTATTTGATGAAATATATTTGACACCTAGGTATTATTTGAGTGTTGATATGCAAAATTAATAACCTGGTGCACAATGCTATTTGCGGCAGTGATTTCATCATCATCATCATTCCTTTTATGACCCATTAATAGCAACATTATGAAGCCTCGATGGCGCAGTGGTTAGAGTGCAGTACTGCAAGCTATCCCTACTGCAATTTGGCAGATCGAATCCCACCACTTTGAGAGGGCTATAAAGCACTATAAAGTGGTATATAAGTCTAAGTGCTATTGCTAATAGCACTATGTAAAGCACTATAAAGTGGTATATAAGTCTAAGTGCTATTGCTAATAGCAATAGCACTTAGACTTATATACCACTTTATAGTGCTTTACCAGCCCTCTCAAATAGCAATAGCACTTAGACTTATATACCACTCCACAGTGCTTTACAGCCCTCTCTAAGCCGTTTACAGAGTCAGCCTATTGCCCCAAACAATCTGGCTCCTCATTTTACCCACCTTGGAAGGATGGAAGGCTGAGTCAACCGTGAGCCTGGTGAGATTTGAATTGCTGAATTGCAGGCAGCCGGCAGTCAGCAGAAGTAGCCTGCAGTACTGCATTCTAACCACTGTGCCACCCTTGCTTCAGAGTGGGATTAGAGCAACTGAGTGGAGATTAGCATTTACTGGCCGGATGCCCTTCCTGACACCTATACAGAGTTTGCAGCAGATATTTTCTCTTTGCACCCTGATAGAGAAACATCTGTTGCTGCCTAGGATTGAACTCTCAACCTTCCGAGTGGGAGGTGAGCGTTTTCACCTCTAGGCCTCCGTGCTGCTCAATTTCCTTATTAATTATTACACCTTATATTTTCCTTGGTCTGAACAACATAATGCTTCTTCAATTGACTGTTTTCAATTTCTCCATCAAGAGGAATGTATTTGATAAATCAGAAGATTTAGAAAAGCCATACTGAATTCAGAGACATTACCAATATAAACTTCAGGTTATACTGTACTTCTTACATCCTGAATGGGCATGTCTGGATGATCATACCTGCCTCGAAGTCAATGCTTCTCAAGGCTTCTGTGATACTTTCCAAATCTACAGTGAAGTAGTCCATGTTTTCAAAGCCTGTCTCCACCTTCTCCAACTGGCCACCTTTTGATGCATCCAGGATTCTGGAAAGCAGACAAGAAAGGATGTTGTTGCCTTTTATCCTGCTATTAGCCAATCCGCTGTAGGTTTTGGGCTGTCATTCAAACAAATTGTGTGGTACCCCTTTTAAGGAAGAGATTGGATAACCATTTGTCTGAAATGATATAGGGCAGTGATGGCTAACCCCTTTGGGCTCCTGTGCCAAAAACTGCGTGCATGCGCCCCTCCCCCTTACCTGCACTGCACCTGCCAACTGATTTTCCGGCTGTTCGAGGCCTTTTTCGGCCTACCAGAGGCTTGATAGATGCTTCTGCAGGCTTTGAAGGCCGAAAAATGGACCTGTTTCATCACTTCTGGTATTTCCGGGAATACAGGAAGTGATGAAACAGGCCCTTTTTTCAGCCTGCAAAGCCTGCAGAAGCATCTATCAAGCCTCTGGCTGGCTGAAAAAGGTCCGAAAATCAGCTGGGAGGCGTGCGCATGTGCAGTGAGGTAAGTTTGCCTGGGGCTCATGTTCCTGCACAAATGGCTCTGCATGCCATAGGTTTGCCATCACAGATATAGGGTTTCCTGCCTAAGCAGGGGGCTGGACTAGAAGACCTCCAAGGTCACCACAAATTCTGTTATTCTATTCTAGGTCTTTTCACCATTATGGGAACCAACTCCAAGATTTTGGAAGGATGGCTGGCAATATTTTAGATACATAAAATAACCAAAAGACATGGAATGGAAGGGAGGCTGATCGAAAACCCTTTCTCCTTTTTATACATACAGGTAGTCCTCAACTTACAATCACATTTGAACCCAAAATATGTTGTTAAGTGAGACATTTGTTAAGTGAGTTTTGCCCCATTTTTGGACTTTTCTAGCCCCAGTTGTTAAGTGAATCATTGTAGTTGTTAAATTAGTAAGACGGTTTTTAAGTGAATCTGGCTTCCCCATTCACTTTGCTGATCAGAAGATCACAAAAGCTGTTCACATGCAACCGTCATAAATATGATGTATTTTGTATAATTCTCTGTGCATCTGTATTTATATTCAACGTGTCCATAAACATTTTGTACAGTTGTATATGTTCATATATGTGCAGTCACACTTTTCCTTGTGTGCTCATGTACATACATTTTGTTGTGTTTTCCATTGGCATATTCATAGATGCCTTGCATATTTGCAGACATATATTTATATTTTACTGTTGTCTTGCACTTTGGTTGGATGCTAACAGCATTTCATTGCCTGTATCCATGGCAATGACAATAAAGTTGAATCTAATCTAATCTAATCTATGAGTCAGTTGCCAATCACCTGAATTTTGATCATGTGACCATGGGGATGCTGCAACAGTCATGTGAAAAATGATCATCAGTCACTATTTTTCAGTGTCGCTATAACTTTGAACAGTCACTAAATGAACTCTTATAAGTTGAGGATTATCTGTAACTCTGTGTTAAACTTTCTTTGGATCTGCCCTCCATTTTCATTCTCCACAAAGCCCCACAGATAAATGTTCCGTCATACATAAAATAGGTTTCAATTAGTTGATGGTATATTTTTCAGGACACGGAATGAACCTTAACCCCCAACTTTCCGTTAAAAGGAGCATTGCGACTAGACAATTAAGCTAAGGAACTAGTCCATCTACTAGTCAGCTTTAACGTAATTTAAATGTCACAATGTTTTCTCAACCATACAGTGTCCTTCCTGCTTGGAAACTCTCTGAAGTTATTTACTTAGGATTTACTGTTTGTTTACAAAAATGGCAGTTTAGAAATACATTTTCAGGACTTACGTTTTAATAAGTTGCTTGGCAGTCTGGAAGGAGAAACAGAAAGGTCAAAAAGTGAATGAAAAGCATTCAGTTTAAAATTGCTAAAATCAGTAAAATCATCTTGAGTCTCCTAGAAATGATTGCTTGGTTGATTGCCCTGATAAAATTTTGAAGTATCAAGACTGACTTGAAGGCACACACAGAAAAAATTGAAGTGTAATTGTACAGTTTATTTGTTTATTTATTTATTTATTTCTCCTGTGCCAAAAATTGTGCGCACACACCAGCACCCAGAAGGCAATGCGTGTGTCCCCCATGCCTCCTGCTCATGCGCGCACTATCCACGCACACCCTGCCACCGCCTTACCTGCAGTGCGCCTCTCAGCTGATTTTCAGCCTCCCGGAGGCTTGAGGAAAGCCTTTGCAGGCCAAAAAATAGCCCCGTTTCAGGAAATACAGGAAGTGACAAAATGGGCCTATTTTTTGGCCTGCAAAGGCTTTCCTCAAGCCACTGGGAGGCCGAAAAAGGCCTCAAACAGGTCGAAAATCAGCTGTGAGGCACACGCATGAGCAGTGAGGTAAGTTTGCCTGCAGCTCACTTGCTGACACAAATGGCTCTGCGTGCCACAGGTTCGCCGTCATGGTCCTAGTCAGATCCCCAGTTCTGGCTATCTTGGTTTGGAATTTGAAAATCTACACAGCTGTAGATGAAGGGATCTCGACTGTATAACATTTTTCCTCACCATAAGAAAAGCGGCTCCTCCTTCTTCCTCCATAGACTGAATGGCACTCTCCACCAGCTTGCTGGACTTCTCCAGTTGATCTTTATACCGTTGGATGAGGTTCTGCATGAATCCAGTCTTCTCTTCCTGCTCCTTGGAGATGCGCTGCAGAAGGTCCGTCCTCTTCTCCTCAATGACAGCAATGAGAGCTTCAAACTTCTCACACAAGGACTGCTTAGCCAACCGACTGTTCTCCTGTCACAGAGAGGAGAATAGAAGGACAAGCTGAGTTGGTTCCTTCTGAACAAATCTCACACAAGAAGCCACCCTCTGGAACTCATTTAGACAGGTGCCAGTGCTTGATTGGTTAAGGAGAACATGGCAGCTCTTTTTAAAAAATATCTTGATTTCCCAGCTGGTTCTAGTTGGCAAATATATCTGGGAGAAGACATTTGCAGAGGAGAGCATATCAATCTTGATAGATCGTTTTCTTCCCAGTTTGGCACCCTTACCGCCAATGTTTTGATTTTGTATCTGGGTGCCTAAAAGTCAGCCCTGACTTGTGGCAATTGCTTACACCAAGGGTCTTCAAACTTGACAAGTTTACGACTTGTGGACTTCAACTTCCAGAATTCCTGAGCTAACATGACTGAAGGAGGAATTCTGGGAGTTGAAGTCCACAAGTCTTAGGGCTGTCAAGTTTGGAGACCCCTGGCTTATACAAATTCATGCAGTTTTCTTGGCAAGATTTGGTCTACCCTTTTCCTTCTTCCTCATAGGACCAAAACTAAAGTCATCAAACTGGCTTTGTGCCTTAAAAGTGGGACCATCACACAATCTCCAAGCTTCTAGGCCAAGGGTGTCAAAGTCAATTTCATTGAGGGCCACATCAGGGTTGTGTTTGATCTCGAATGGCCAGGTGGGCATGGCCAGGGTGGGCGTGGCCAACTCAACATCACTGGTGTCGGGGGCACCTGTGGTGGCCCGGGTGGGGCTGGGGGGATCCATTGTCTCCAGCGGGGGAAGGTGAGACCAGGGAGAGCACCAAACCCTTCCTCCCTTCTTTCCTTCTTTTTCCTTCCTTGCTCTCTTTCCATCTTTCCTTCTTTTTTTTGGTCTTTCCTCTTCCTCTTTCTCCTTTCCTGTCCCTTTTGGGATGCTCAAATGCAAAAGGGGAAACAGTTCTCCTTTTGTTTTGCTTTTAGTTTGTTTTGCTAGCTCTCTGCCAGCGAAAACAAAGACCAGGGTGCATGCAGTCCCCAGGCCCCATTTTCAGCATGGATGACCTGCTGAAGCCCTCTCCATTTTTGCTGGCAGAGGCACCATGGACCAGTCCTTCACCATTTCCACGGCTGTCCTGCAGGCCAGAATTAAGCCCCTCATGGGCCTGCGAGTCTTGAGTTTGACACCCCGTTCTAGGCCAATATCTAACTTACATTCATTTAGGCATCATGCAAAGTTACAATGGCGCTGAAAAAAAATATGACTTACACTCACACTTACGAGCGTTGTGCTTTCCCCACGGTTGCATGATCAGAATTTGGCTGCTTCGCAAGCAGCCTATATTAACAACAGTTACAGGAAGGTGATGCCCATTTGTAACCAGCTTCCACCAAACAAAATCAATGGTTGAAGCCACATTTGCTTAACGACTGCCTGAGTCACTTAACTGCAGCGATTTGCTTTAATGGCATGGCAAAATCAGGTTGGGACATACCACCTCTTATAACAGAACGCCTGATCCCAATTGTGGTTGCAAGTGGAGGACTACCTATGCGCCAATCTGCCTCTCGTGTGTAGATTGCAAACACCGCATTTCCCAACTCAGAATTACAGGTAGTCCTTCGACTTACAACCACAATTCAGCCCAAAGTTTCTGTCGCTAAGTGAAACAATTGTTAAGTGAGTCTGCTCCATTTTATTGCCTTTCTTGCCACAGCTGTTACACGAATCACTGTTAAACTGTGGTTCAGTGACTCTGGCTTCCCCATTGACCTTCTTTGTCAGAAGGTTGCCATGACCCCGGGACACTGCAATCATCGTAAATACTGTATGAGTCAGTTGCCAAGCATCTGAACTTTGATCCCCTGACCATGAGGATGCTACAACCGTCGCAAGTGTGAAAACTGGTCATAAGTCACTGTCAGCTTTGGAAGCCATATTAGCACCAGCAAATCCATTATTTTCCGGACTTCTGGAACGCTGACAGTCATTTTCTTCAGTGCCGTTGTAACTTTGAATGGTCACTAAATGAACTGTTGCAAGTTGAGGACTACCTGTATTAGGGTTATACCCTATAGAGAATCTCTGTAAGTTCATGGCACAGGAAAGACCAGACAAAGATCTTCTGGCTTGCAGTCAGTGCTCTGTCCCCAGTTTCCTCATCGTACAACACGTGTTTGGTGCATCGGGCAAAAGAGCTTGCACCAAACACTTAATCAAATAAGTTAAAGCAGGGGTCCCCAACACCCGGCACAGTGGTGGGATTCAAAAAAATTTTACTACTGGTTCTGTGGGCATGGCTTGGTGGGCGTGGTGTGGCTAGATGGGCGTAGCTTGGTGGGCATGGTAGGGGAAGGTTACTGCAAAATCCCCATTTCCTCTCCACCCCACAAACCTGCTTTCCACCTCCGTTCTCCTGTGCAGGGCAACCAAAGAAGACCCAGCCAATCAGCTGGGACTCGGGAGGCAGACAATAGATGGGGGCGGGGCCAATCAGAGGTGGGATTTGCCAGTTCTCCGAACTACTCAAAATGTCCGCTACCGGTTCTCCTGAACTGGTCAGAACCGGCTGAATACCACCTCTGACCCAGTCTGTGGCCCGGTACTGGTCTGTGGCCTGTTGGGAACTGGCCCACGCAAGCAGTGGACAAGAGCACAAAGCTTCTTTTGCACATGAGTGAAACCATCCCCTCTCCCCACCCTCCACGCCTTCCCCACCCCCTGGGGCTGCCGGTCCATGGAGCCAGAAAGGTTGGGGGCTGCTGAGTTAAAGGACAGGTGGATACATCTCAGAGGTGGTATTCAGCAGGTTCTGATCAGTTCTGGAGAACCAGTAGCGGAAATTTTGAGCAGTTCGGAGAACTGGCAAATACCACCTCTGACTGGCCCCGCCCCCATCTATTCTCCCCACCAAGCCCCGCCCACCAAGCCACACTATGCCCACCAAGCCACGCCCACAGAACCAGTAGTAAAAAATTTTTGAATCCCACCACTGATGCATCTGCAATATTTTAAGCTTTGTCCATTTTAACTTTCGTTTAGTTCTTTCCGCCATTTAGTGTGCTGTGCAAATTAGCCTCATTTCTAGTTAGAATAAGATTTAGAATTGTAATTAGAATGAGAAATCCCCACTGGATTAATTTTCCGATTCCTGATTTCTTAACTAGAATTAGAAATCAGAAAATTAGAAATCCGAATATGAATTCAATCGTCGGGCTAAGCAAATTACGCAAGCACTGAGTTTGCATTGGGATTTTAAGTTACTAGGCAGACTCTCAGCTCTTTCGTCTAACTGAGGGGTCCCCAAACTTCTGGGAGTTGAAGTCCACAAGTCTTAAAGTTGCCAAGTTTGGAGACCTCTGGTCTAAATAAACTGCTGCCCTGATTTGGAAGCAGGGAGAAGAAAGCCACTGGGTTCCCTTTCCATCTCTTCTCGGGCAGCACCTGTCTTGAGCCACCGTCCCTGTGGGTTGGATTTCTCTTCCGCTGCTCAGATTTCTAAAGGCTCAGCCATTTGTCGTATTCCTCACCTCTGTCGTTTTGCACAAGTCCTCCAGCTGGCTGATGATTGTCTGCACCCTGTCATTCCCTGCTACCAACATGGAGATGCAGTTGGTTAGCTCAGTCTGCAAGAGAAAGTGATAAAAAAATAGATTGACTCTCTACGCCTCCTTTTCTGAATCAGTGGGTGCGCTGAGGTTCTTCTTGATCAATTGCGAGGAAGAGAAATGGAAAAGAAATATCACGGAGAAATGCTACGACTCAAGACTGCAGTACAATTATTGTCAAGACTGGTTGTTTTCTTCTTTGCTCTCTTCTTTAATTATATTAGACTAGCTCGATATCCGTGTTTCGCTACAAAACTATGTGGTTGGGCTTAGTTTTGGGAGAGGAAAATAAGGGGGGGAAATTATGCCTCTGCCTACCAGCATCCATCAGTATTCATCTAGCTAGCATCCTGTCAGTGTGTGAGAGAGTTGAGGGCTGTTTGGAAACTGAAACAGTATTTGCTGAGTGAGCAAGGAGACAGCAAGGAGCCTGGGCGTGACTTAGCTCAACTGTTCTGTACTAAAGCTGCTTGCTGTTGTGAAACTAAAACTGAAACTCCTCTCCTCTGCTTGTGTTTTGCATTTGGAATAGATTTCTTTTCAGATGGGGAGGGGGAGTAGAACTCCTTTGCATCAGAGCGTGTTAATAATAATATACGGAATACTAATGCTCTGATGGTCATTTTGAAAAATCCTTTTTTAGTCAGCACCTAGAAGCCAAGAGGAACATACGTACCAAATTTCAAGTTTATAGGCTTTACGGTTCTGGAGATTTTGTGATGATGCGTGAGTGGTATTTCACTTTTATATAGAGAGATTACAGGGACTTTTTTTTCCTTTTAATCTTTGAACATTTTGGGGTGGCTTTAAAAGATTGAGGAAAGTTTAATGGAGACCTGAACTCAGTTAACCGATTAAGCCCAGAGGCAAATTATAAATCTTTCTCCTGCAAATATTGGCATACTATTTTTTAATCCATGGCAAAAATGTGTTTTTATGATGCTGACATCCATACACATTTGGATGCCAAAGCCAACAATCCTTTTGCACCAACTGGCTGAACACTGCATCTGCCAGAGACTCTAAAATATTGTTTGAACCAGTTGTCTCACTGCCAACCTACTGTGCATATTTTGATCTAGATTGGTTTCACAAAGTGGTACACTGAAGTGCTAAATCTGTTTTTCCTTTTGCTCTTTTGGGGTGAGAGGCATGAGCTTTTATCACAAAGGCTGAATGACAGCTTGAAAGTTCCATGCACGGACCCACTTTCAAATGTTTTCCCAAATCACTGGGACAAGAGAAATGGGAGATAGAATTTTTTAAAATTAAATTGCAGGATGACAGAGACTCCATATCTGCTTTTCTTGTTTTCCTAAACCTCTGCAGTGCCCCTGTGTGAAGGCACCAAGAATTCTAGATGGCTGTAACCATAGTTGAGTCTGCAGGAAAATGGAGTAGTGATGGATCGGTTTATTCTCTGGGAAAAGTGATGGATTAACTACTTGTTCTGACCCAGGCTTCCTAAACCGTAATTACGCACACACTTATTTTAAAAAGAAGATTTCCCAGCAACGCTGGGAATTGTTTTCATTCCCAGCTGGAATTAATCTTAAACAATCCCCCGAGAAAAGTACACACCTTTCAGTTCTGTGAAGTGCTGCCAAAAACAGAAGTATCAAATGAACTAGAAAAGAAACCAACCGAAGTACAAAGAGCTTCAAGAATGACTCTGAACCGATCGAACTACTTTGCTTCCTGCAAAGGTTTCATCATCTTGGCCAGACCTTTATACCTTATGGGAGGAGCAATCACCTCCCAGCCTTACTCCCGAGTTGTCCCTTTTGTTTCAGCTGCTCTCGCCTTCTAGCAGCTCTGCCCATACGTGCACTGGAAATAGGCTCCCCTGGGTCCTCTGCCTCACTGCTGTCAGACTCCGAAGGCAGCAGCCCACTCCCAGATGGTCCTGGCCCCATCTCTGCATCGGATGCAGGACCTTCGTCCAAGTCGTCTCCAGACTCCCTGACCCTTCACATCCTCACTGTCCGATTCCGCTGCAATCTGAACCGGCTGCTGGCGAACCACAACACTACTGTATGGAGCCCATCAGAAGTTCGGAGAAAGACCACAGCTTGTCATGCAACTGCTTTCTGGGAGAAAGCTGCCATCTCTCCACTCTTGTAGCTCCAAATATATCCTGCTGATGATTGCTGGTCAACTGCAGTCGTTTATGTATCCATATCAACTGCATTAGGGTCAGATGCTATTCCTGAAAGACACACTGTGACGTGTCCAGAGGTCTCTAATTCACCTCTTAGCCCAAATGGGAGATGCACCTTCTGGCCCAAGACTTCCTCTGCATACCACTGGATATGAACCCCTTTAAGGTGAAGGAATGCAATCCTTTTTTTTTTTTTTTTTGGTCTCTGGGCATATGGTCAAGTTGCAGGCATGAAGAAGGAGGATATTCACTCCCGTAGAGGCTGCTAAGCAGTATTCCAGGAAGTTTTGAGACTGTTCAGAATTAGGTCAGGTTTTTTGTTTGTGCATAATCAGAAAGATCACACCATGAAAAGGCTATGCATACATTGAGTAACACAGTTATTTACTTAAAAACAATTGCTATCATTTAAATATCCCAAAGATGCTTTTTTAAGAGGCAGTTTTTCCTGGAACACGTTTTGCTTCTCATTCAAGAAGCTTCTTCGGCTCTGACTGGATGGTGGGAAAAGGGATTGGTGGGGACCGACTTTGCATTCAGAGAAGAAGGGGAATTGCATTCTCGGAAGCCTCATTCATGAGAATAAAATTTCCCCACCGTTCAGTCAGAATGGAAGAAGCTTCTTGGATGAAAAAGTGAAACGTCTTCAGAGAAAAATCAGAAAGTCCAGTTGCCTCTTGAAAAAGCACCTTTGGGACAACTACGACCTGGAATGACTGAGAATCTCCATAGATATCATAGATATCATTTGAATAGAAAACGGAGAGCCAATTTGTCACAGTGGTTAAGGCACCAGGTAGAAACCAGAAGGCTGTGAGTTCTAGTCCTGAAATTTGGGTGTCCTCAAAATCTTCAAAGTAGGCAGGTAAAATGTCATGATAAAACATCATGAGTCTTTTGAACATGCATGCAAGACCAACAAAAGGATGGTGTTTACATTATGATGCTCTGCCTGCCATCTTGCAATGTTCAAGCCTCTCTGCCCCAAATCTGGCAAATGACCGTGAATATTGAGTTGAACGTTGGAGAGTTAAGCTATATTATTATTATGCCTACAGTGAAACTTGGCTCCTACCTTCTGTCCCTGAAAGACGCTTTGAAGAGGTGCCACTTCACAATCTTTGTGGGCTCCAAAGACTTTGCACATAGAGCAGGTAGGAACCTCACAGGTCAAGCAATAGATGTTGATCTTTTCATCTTCGTGTTCCTTGCACATTGGGTGGTTTCCTTTCTTGAGAGGACGGCTGTAGAAGACAGGAAGGAAAGGAAGAGTCCAGAAAAGAACGTCTCCCTAGTTAATGTCACCTTGGATAGCAAGATATAAATTTAACAAATAAATAAATGTTTGACTAGAAGTGGGAAAACAGATTGAAAGTCATATTCGGCCCCAAAATAGGTAATATTGAGCAGTGGTGGGATTTAATTGTTTTTACTACCAGTTCTGTGGGTGTGGCTTGGTGGGTGTGGCAGAGAAAGGATACTATAAAATCTCCAGTAAGAGGTGGGATTTGCTACTCAAAATTTCCGCTACCGGTTCTCCAGAACTGGTCAGAACCTGCTGAATACCACCTCTGATATTGAAACAGTCACTGTATCTTTTTCATTTGACATCTCATGATGATTATATCCCACTATTTACAACCACTGGTCTGCAGGTTTGAAAATATTTTAAACTTGCTTTAGATGTTTCCCTTTACATTATGTAAAAGTTTGGTGGTGCGGGAATTGCATGGCCTGTGGATAATGTAAATATGGCAGAATATGGTAAAATAAAGAGTTCACATAAATAATCTTCCTCACATGGGTCGGTAAAACATGAAGACAGAGGATCAGATTGGCTGTATGGGTTATTCAAATGCCTAATTATGATGCCCTGAAACAATAGAGGCAATCTGACAAAATGCATGTGAGAAATTATTTTCAATAGAAGATAATATAAGGTTGAATATAATCTTAGTTGATCTCTGAACCTGATTGTTTGCTTGCAGAAGTTCCTTGCTTACTGGCTGAGGAATTCTGGGAGTTATTCCATCCATCTTAAGTTGCCAGAGTTGAGAAGCATTGCTATAGACTCAAAGCAAGTTGGCTGCAAATTCTGAGAGCTGAGGTCCACGCAGCTTGAAGTAAACATCAGCACTGATGAGATTACCTAGCTGGGTAATGAAATGTTTCCAGGCAAACAACCAAGCTTAGAGAGCACCAAGGACTCCATAGAAGTGAGTTTTCTACTAGAAAATCACTTCTATGGAGTGTCTATTAAAGAGGGAGGGAGTGAAGAGTCATTAGACTTGCTTGTTTCACGTTCCATCAATCTCTAGGAACTGGCACCAGAAATATTCCTCACTAAGGGCAAGTATTTCCTAGCTCTTTCTTCTCATTTAATTTTTTCACTCATACAGTAAAAGTTTAATAGTGGATTTAGTAAATCAAGCTGAAAGTGTGGACTGGTTGCTGATCCTTTGCACAGCAGAGTGTCGATAGCCTTCTGTCTAATATTAACCTCCCTGTGAAGTTATGTTTAGATCTTACTTCCACTTCTGTCTAAGTGGAGCCATTTATTCTGAGAACAGGTTTCCTTTCTTTGGAGGAAGATTTATGATAGCAGCCCCCACCTCCCAAGTATCAGCATTATGGCACTTCTGCTCCTATATTCGGATCCCTTGGTAATCCACCCAAACTTCCTGACCCTTCATGGACATGGACTAGTCAGTCGGTTGGAGTTTCCTCTATAGGGTTTCTAAAAAAAACCAAACACCATGATAACTGTGTTTGCTAACGTGACTTAAAGCAGCACTAATTCCTAGTGGATGTGAGTTTGAATGTGTATGAATGAAGGAAAGAATGAATGAATGAAAATAGCCTAGATCGGACCCAAAGTCCATGTAGCTGCTGTTCTGAAAAAAGTCAGAACTTTCAGCCTGGATTTTTCAATTGGATTAAGATGCCGCATTAATATGGGTTTTATTTTATGTATCTGTTGCTTTTTGCCCTTTCAATCTATTGTAAATTTCTTGTTAATCCAATTAGTCTACTGCAGATTTCGTCTTGGCATGAGTGAGACAAGCCCCAAGGATGAATCCCAGTTACGATGGTCAGCTTTTTGGTTCTGCAGAGTCCCACCTTCCTTCAGCTATGAAATCTGAGCTGCAGAAATTCCAAGGGCCACCATATGACAAACAGGAGTTGGGAGATATTCACATTCCTTTACTGCCATCTTTTGGTTGTCTGGATTGTTGTGGCCCAGACATGTTAGCTCATAGAAAGAAAGAAAGAAAGAAAGAAAGAAAGAAAGAAAGAAAGAAAGA